TGGGGTTTTTTTTGCAATTTTTATCCGGCTACAGCAATGGGGAATAGTGTTAAAAAACCTCAGTTGCTATGTTCTCAGTGAAAATCCATCACCTCCCCCACAAATCCGATATTAATTTAAGTAGTTTGTATAAAAATAAAATAAAAAGCTAGACATGAGGTTAGAAATGTCCATTACATACCTGGTCGATGCCAGTGCTCTAAGGCATAAGCACAATCAGCCTCAAGCATCAAGCTGGATTGGATAGTGCACTTAGATTTTTTCATTCTGGATTTAATGGTTTTATGACCCACCCCCCACCCTTTAGATAGTAATGTGTAGTACTTCCCTTACTTCCAAGTGCCTTGCCATGTTGGGGGCCCCTCCTGCTCATTCTGCTGAGTGTGGCTCTGGACTTGGGAACATCATAATCTGCCTGCATAGAAAGTCAAACCCTTAGTCCATCTAGCTCAGCACTGTTGCCACTAACTGGAAGCAGCTCTCCAGGTTTTTTGGAAAGGAATTCATTTCCCAGCCCTGTCTGGAGATGCCAGGGACTGAACCTGGGACCTTCTGCATACAAAGCATGCTCTCTGCCGCTGAGCTACAGCCCAACCCCCTTGAAGTCCTTCCTCCTGACAGCACCACTGTATTGGATTCCCAGTTTAAAAATCTTTGTTCACCCGGAAATACTATGCCCTAAATGCCACAGAGAATTCCCTTTTCATGCAAAGTGGATCAAAGCAGTAATTTCTTGTGGTAAGTTCCATGACAATGCCAGCATTTAATAGAGATTTAGCCTAACACCCTGGGGAAAGTTCTGACTGACCGCAGGCAACCAACCACACGCTGAGATGTGTGTGTGTGCATACATCTGTATGTGTGCAAATGAATGCACTGCAGATTTATCGAGAGCCTGAAGCAGAGAATTATTGCAAAGTACTTTGCCCAGTGCTATAAAGCGTTATTATTATTAATGCCCGTTTAAAGAGGGACAAAGCTGTTGAAAACTCCAAAGGTTGCATGCTATTGTACAATTCGTTGGGCTCGGTGAATGATTCAAGGTGGATGTAATCCTACACACACTTAGAGTAAAGGCAGGCATAAGCAACAAATTATTCAGTGCTATATGAGCCCAGCTTCACAACAAAATTTACCCTGATATGCCAGTCTCTCCTGGCTGGGTCTAGGGTTTTGGAGGCCCTCAGTGGGCCCCATTAACTAAGAAGACATGGGGTGTGCAAGCTGAGAATCTTCTTAGGCCCTGTTCAATTTCCTTGGAACAGAGTATGGAGTGGGAATACTAAGCATGGATGAATGTCCATCCTTGTGACCTTACCAGAGCTGACTTTACATGGAGTGAATGCTGCCTTATGCCTATTGGTTAGGCTGTTTGTCCATCTAGCTCAGTGCTGTTTACTTTGACTGGCAGCAGCTCTCCAGGATCTTAGGCAGAGGTCTTTCTCACCACTTGTTATTAGATATATTTAACTGGAAATAGTGGGGCTTGAACTTGGGACCTTCCTTCTGCATGGAAAAAACCATGGTGCCATGGTTGTCCTCTCAAGCATGAGACAGAAGTGTGTATTCATCACTACCAGTCAGGCTGGTTTAGCTGATCAGCAGCAAAGCATTGCCATGGAGGAACTTTGATAAAGAAGTGGGGGGCAAGGCCTCATTCTTGTTCCGCCTCTCAAAATGGCCTGCTTCCAGGTTTCATTGCTTGCAGATGCTGCTCATCCACATTCCTCTCTAGCTTCAGTGATGGGCCAAATTCCATATCTGAGATGGGCAAATCTGACCCCGGGCTACTAGTTGCTGACCTCAGATTGAACCAAAATAGCTGTTAGGCTACCGACGTCCACTTAAATCAGGATATTTGAATCTAATATGCTACTTGGGCTGAAGTGAGTCCACATACACAATCTTTAGTAAGTCAGTGTGCTGGTAGGGAAACTGGCATCCACATAACTAAACTACCGTATTTTTTGCTCTATAAGACACAACAGACCACAAGACGCACCTAGTTTTTGGAGGAGGAAAACAAGAGGGGGGAAAATTCTGAATCTCAGAAGCCAGAACAGCAAGAGGGATCGCTGTGCAGTGAAAGCAGCAATCCCTCTTGCTGTTCTGGCTTCTGTGATAGCTGCGCAGCCTGCATTCGCTCCATAAGATGCACACACATTTCCCCTTACTTTTTAGGAGGGAAAAAACGAGTCTTATAGAGCAAAAAATACGGTAACTTAATGTAGTTTCATATACTGTTCTGTACTAGTGTAAGTTGAAGCTACAGATAACAGTGCTCGCCCATAGAGGTTTGGTGATGTACTTACAATGTACAAATTGCCTCCCAAATATTTACATTTCACATCTCCTCCTCCTGCATTCCTATGAGGTTGTTAGATGGGGAATCAAAGACACAAGGATGGTTCTGCCATTGTATTAATTGAAAGGAAGGGGACAACAATTTGCCCTCTGCTGTCTGAGACGGCAGAACTAAGTTCTAGTGGACTTACATTACCAGGATTGAGTATTCAAAGAAAGCTCTTAAACTGCATGAACAGTTTTGAAAATTACAGGCTGTGTTCATGCTACACCGCTAAAGCACATGTTGACATCTTCTTTCCCTCAAAGAATTCTGGGCATTGTAGTTTACCCCCCACAGAAACACAGTGCACAGAAACCCTTAACAAATCACAGCACGCAGAATTCTATGAGAGAGGACAGCTAATTCTCAAACAGGAATGCGGAAATCAATTTTGGTTTCTCTCTGTTTTAATTTTTTCCAATCTTAAGTTCAGTTCTCCACATTGGTTTTACCACTTTTTTTTAAAGTCCTCATGAAAATTAATTGGCATTTTAGTGTGAATTTCTCCAAATACACACATGTGTATAAGCAGTTCTATCTAATATGCAATTTCTTGCAAATCCATTTCCCCTAATACAATGCATTTTTGTACGTTATTTCCATTAATATGCACTTGTACAGGGTGGGTGCCCAGGGCATGGTCTTGTGCATGACATAGGCCTGAGATTATTTAGGATGAAAGGTGATCTAGAGATTTTGTGAATGTAGACAAAATAAAGCAAAGCTTTTATTTTTAAGATACATGTATTAAAAATGGGGTAAGGACAGAAGATTTGAAACCCAGGACAACAGAACCAGATCTTGGAGTTCCTGGGCCATTCCCTAACAATGGCCCTGGGAGTAGTACAGTGGTACCTTGGTTTGCAAACTTAATACATTCTGGAAGTCTGTTCTTAAACCAAAGCATTCTTAAACCAAGGCGTGCTTTCCCATAGCAGCGGGGGACTCAGTTTACAAATTGAATACACTCAACAGGAAGCGAAACATGTTCTTATTTCAAGGCAAAGTTCACAAACCAAAACACCTACTTCCGGGTTTGCAGCGTTCTTAATCCAAGTTGTTCATAAACTAAGCTGTTCTTAAACCAAGATACCACTGTACAAATGAAATGTAGCTGCCAAGATGCTGGGAGGAACAAGATGGTCAAGCACATATTGAACCAATCCTACATCAATTTCATTGATTGCCAATTTGTTTCGTGGCTCAACCTAAGGTCCCATTGTATTATACATTTAAAGCAATATCCTACCTCTTTGAACAGCTAAACCACTCTGTTTATTGTTTAATGTCGTATGTGGCTTTAAAAGCATAGTGCAGATGGGATCTTAAAGCTCTAAATAGCCTAAAGCCAGGTAATCTGAGGCTTGCCCTCACAAACCTATCATCAGCATCAGAAAACCTTTCTTCTGACTTTCCATGAGTTAAGATCAGAACCAATAAGTACCAGGAACAGGACCCTCTTGGTGTCGCATTGCAAATGTGGAACTCTTTCCTTGTAGATATCTATCAAACCTCTCCCCTGCCATTTTTAGGCTGGCTTTGAAAAACCAGTTTATACTATCTGGCTTTTTATGACTGGTTTTATTCTGGCTGCCTTGCGGTTTTTTCATATGTCCGTTTGCTGCTGCTGCTATTTTTAAAATGCAGTGTGCACCTGTGCTATTTTAACGATATCGTAGCAAGGTCTCCTCCTTGGGATATTCTGCATATCCTTATCCCTGAACCATTTTTGCCATCGAACGGGTTTTATTTACTATGCTCTTGATGCAACTGTAGCCACTCTTCAGAAAAATGCCCTCACTCAGCCACTTTTTGTCGGCTCTCTTTTCCTGGAGAGACGCCGGGAGCGTAACGCCACCACGCATTGTTATTCGTACTACGCCTTTGCGCATGAGGAGACCGGGAGACGAGTCTCTGCCCGCAAGGAGCTTCCTATCGACCGGCCAGCTCTTCCTCTTCTAGGGAAGGCGGGAAGGGAGGCAGGAGAGGAGGAGGAGCTCGCCCGAGGCCGCGCGAAGCCTCTCCCGGGCTGAGGCGCCCTGCTCTCGCCCGCCTCTCCTTCCGCCCCAGGAGGTGGGCTCCCCGCCGTGTAGTGCGGCTCCCGCCCGGAGGAGGCTGCCGTGGGTGCCGAGGCCCCGCCTCCTCGTCTTCCTCCTTCCCCGTGTCCTTGTCTCGGCGCTGGCTGAGCTGGAAGAGACGGCGGGAGAGCAGCAGAGCGCGAGCTGAGCGCGCGCCGGGGAAGGAGGAGCCGGGCCGGGCGGAGCTGCCGCGCTGCAGTACACGAGGAGCCGGAACACGCACCGTTTCCTCCTCCTTCCCAGCTCCCACCGGCTGATCCTCTGCCCCGCCGCAGCCGCCCGGCCTGCCTGCCCGCCCGCCGGCTTCCCCGCGCCAGAGGTTCCTCCTCGCCCTCCGGCTGCGGCTGCGCTCCCTCTCGCGCTCCCGGCTGCCTCCTGGTCCGGGTCCGTGCTTGCAGCTGCCGCCGCCCTCTTCCTTCTGCTGCCTCTCGCCTGGGCACCTGGTCCCGTTTTCCCCTCGGGCGGGGGGGGGGCTCTTGCTGTCGGCCGCTGCCTGCTCCTTCCTGGCTCTCAGACCTTGCCTCTCTTTCCTAGAGGGCACCCCAGGCGCAGGAGCAAGATTTTGGGGACTCTTTCCCCACGCTCAGAAAAGCCGCAGACTCTTTCTCTCTCCCACCCCACCCTCGTCCATCCCTAACAGGAGAAGAACGCAGCTGAAGGAAAGCGCCCCCTGACCATATTATGAGAGCTTTACCACACCAGTCTCCGTTTAGGTTTTCCATCTGGACGCGGGATCCTTCGGTGGCCTCGTTTTATTTCTCGGGCTCCCGCTTCCTCCTCTTCCTCCTCCAATGAAGCATCTCCCTGGAAGCTGTGTCCTCTGACATTTCCCCCCTTCCTTCAAAGAAGCCACGGCGGCCGCCTGCTAAGGCCAGCAGCTCCTCCTGGGTGCGTTTCATTTTATCTTTTTCGTTTGGAGTGGGAGAGATCCGGAGGCCCAATGGGGGCGAGGTTCCTGGGGGCTCTTTGCTCTTGCCGGGCTTTGCCCTTCCTGTTCTGCGCAGCGGCCCTCCTGGTGCTGCTGCCGGGCAGCACCGGCAGCGTGAACCCCGGGGTCACTCAGCAAGTTTACTCCCCGGAGCTGAAAGCGGCGGTCGAGAGCATCACCACTGCTCCGCCGGTGTCCCTAGACAGCCACCCTGAGTCCAAGCACCCCAAGAACACTTCGGCCCCCGGAAAACACACGCACCAGAAGGCGTTTCCTGTCCTGGGCATCGACTACAAGCATGTAAGGATCCCCTTCGAGATTGCGCTATGGATCCTGCTCGCCTGCCTCATGAAACTGGGTATGTAATGTGTCTGGTTGGTTGGTGTGTGTTTGTGTATGATGATGGGTCTGCATTTTGTATTTTTTGCAGAACCAGTACTGCCAGGTGCAGTGGTGGACCTACATTTTGAAGGCCTTGAAGCTTCAACTGTTATGAGGCCCCCTTCACAACCAGCGACAGGGGCTGGGCAACCACTGTTTACTTTCTTCAGTGCGGTTATTTACAACCTCTGTTCTGCTGACTCTCAAACTTTGGGATTGTTGAAATATATATAACAACGAATTAATCAATTCGAGTCATGCTTTTAAAGCAATGTGGACTAAAGCTGTTTCTGGGATCCCTGTGGGAATCGGGGGCCCTGAAGCTTAAGCTTCATTAGTTTCATAGTAGATCCGCCCCTGGCCAGGTGCTTCTAGATTTTCAATTTAAGATCTTGCTGGGTGGGTGGGTGGGTGTGGACTTCTCTTCCTAGGTGGTAATGTGTCTTGCTTTCATTCACTGCAGAAGGTGGTAGGTCAGTCTTGCTGGGCTTGGGGACCCTCCCTCTCATTCTTCTGAGTGGGACCCATGACTTCTTCCCCCAAGGCTTGCCCTGATGGGTACCACTGATCTGAAGCATTGCAGGGCTGCATTTCCCTGAAGCTGCTACTCCCTTCATGCTGTTTAGGCCGTCCTGAGACACTTATGTGACTTAACCAGAGGCCAGGCAGAAGAATGCTTAGTTGTTTGTGGAGTGGTGTACTTCTCTTGTGATGCTCTTTATGTACATGACACATGTTCACATGTGGTGCTTGCGTAGGAGCAAAGCGACTGATACTCTGCAGGGTCACATCTGCATACTAAAGAAGGGAAGTTCCTATGTTCTCCTTCAGGATACAACTCCCTTGTGGTATGTGCTATGTATTATCTGGCCCAATGTAGTTACATGCAATATAAGCAGTGTTAGAAACTCAGATATATACCTAAGCTGGGTGCCAAATGGCTCCTTAAACCGGGGTTACAATCGCCAGAACGGAATGTCTTGTTGCCATTTTGGGGCCAGACAGCTCAAATGTCATATTTTTCAATTTGACTTTTTGGTTCCTGAAATTTGTTCTGACTGTGCAGATAAAATATCACAGAATTCTACAGGATGTGTTGTTAATGTGTGAAAGCAGGCAAGATCCAGTGATCTCCCAGGCATGCACCTCCAGAAGGTGGAGATGTCAGGTGCCTGGGCATATTCACTTAGTCTCTAGTGCAAAATGTACCTGGTACCTGGCAAATTTCAAATGCTGATTAAAAATGAACAGGTTCCTTGGTCCTGGGTTTTCAGGGAAAAGCCTTTCCAAAGGGTTTGAATGGTTAACTTTACTGTGGAAGGTCTGTAGCTCAGTGTTGGAACCTTCTGCATTCAAAGCGGATGCTCTAAGAGATCCCTGGCATCTCCAGGTAGGACTGGGAGGAACTCCCTGTCTGAAACTCTGTGGAGCTGCTGCCGGTCAGTGTAGATGTTTTTCGGCTAGATGGACCAATGATCTTATTTTGCATAAGGTAGCTTTCTTGTATTCGTTGCATTGAAGACAGTAACAATGATTGTGTTCATGGTAGATCCAAGTCCCTGAAGACAATCTGTGGACAAAGGTGAAGTTGCTCAAATATTGGAAGTGGGTTTGTAGGCCATCTGGTCCACCCCCTCTGCTTGATGCTTGACAGTGCTCTTGGAAACTCCAGGCGAAAGAGATCATACACAAAGACAGCTTTCTGTTACGCCTTCCTTTTTTCTTCTGAAGCCAAGGCTGACCTTCCTAGAGTCAGGGACTAACTTAGCAAGTAGTATCCTAAATGGATGCAGCAAAGGATTTTTTCCACAGTTGTTCAACACTGCCCCCATTTATAGAAGCAGTAGGGAGTATTTTTCTGTCTGAGGGCTACATTCTCTTCTGGGCAACTTTCTGGGGGCCTCATGCCAGTGACCATAAGGGCCAAACAGAGAGGTCCGGATCTTTGCATTTTGCCCCCTGGCCCAAGCCTCCCCATCCCGCATGTGTGGCCCAATTTACATGTAACACTTTGCTGCAGTTAATAGCTTTTCAGGGTCGAGAGGTTTGCTAGTGCACACTGCCTGATCGCTCCTGCTTAGCGCGTTCCCTGGCATAAGCAGCAAGCCTCAAAGCCTCGTCTCATTATATGCAAACCAGGATCACGGTTTGTGTCTCCTGGCTGAACTGATCAGCAGGCCAAGGACAAATTATTGTGGTTTGTTCCCAGGTTCAGACCTAATGAGAAGCTAACACTTCATGGCTTGTTGCTCATGCTCACGCCTTGGGAGGAGTGAAGTGGGAGTGATCATGCTGCTTGATCCCAATAAGCCATTAACTATGACTTATCTCTGCATGTGAAAGAGGCCTGTATCACAGGCTCTAAAGCTACCTTCTGAATAGAGGTCACACCGGCTCTCCTCCAAGCTGGGATGACTTCTATGCTCCATCCCAGACTGTAGCAGAGATTACCTCTGTTTCACTGAGGAAGTGATAGGGAAAGGGATGGAGAGAGATGTGCTTGCTTTCATGATCTGTTCCTTTGTGCTATTATCTGCCCCCTTGTTAATGTTAAAAACTTGCATGAAGAAGTAGGGTCATGGAGTTGCATGTTTGCCTCTTGGGAAATTGGGTACCAGTGGCAGGACTGGCTCTCTTAACATAGCCTGGGATCTCATACATCCGAATGCCTTGATTTAGGTTAGGCTGTTCGATGATAAAATGCAACTACTGAAAAGGAGACAGGTGCTTTGGGCTGAGACGTATGCAGTTCACAAAGTACCTGCAGGTGAAAAGTTGAGTAGTGATGATTGTGTTGCTTCCCCTGACCTAGCACATGAGAAGAGCCCTGCTGGATCAGGCCAGAGGCTCATCTGGTCCAGCATCCTGTTCTCACCCTGACCAGCTAGATGCATATAGGAACCCTGCAAAGCAGTGCTGATCATAACAAGTGCCCTTTCCTTTATGTAAAGAAGCCAAGCTTTACGCCAGCAGACAAGACAGTGCAAACCCTGCAACAAGAGAAGAGGAGGACTTGGTCCAGACACTCTTAGGCCCCAGAGATGTGGCAAGGATCAAACCAACTTAGGAGAAGGGCTGCAAGGTTCCTTAAATGCAGCTCAGGGACAAGGCCAGGGATCTGAGTTCCAGGATCAGGACCTGCAAATGGAGACTGCATAGGGAAGCTCTCTACAGTTGGCCCTGCCTACCCATCAGTTTTAAACAGAAGCAGGGAAAGTCCAGCTAACTTGTGCACATTGCCTGCCCCACTGTGAACTCCTGGCCTGACGTGGGGAACTCCTGTCTCTTGGAAGGACCTGGGTCTGCTCCTGTCCCTTCCCCTTTCCTCCTCCCCTGAGAGCTCAATCTGTGATGTGCAGCTCTCTCCCCACTCATCCAGTGGAGAAGTGGCCTCTCTGGCATTGGATGGCCCTGTCTTCTCATCTTGAGCCAAGGAAGGAGAAGCCCTGTGTGGCTTTCAGAGGGAGAGTCTGAACGGAGGCGCCTGGCTCAAAGTTGGGGGCTTGAGCAGGAGGGCTCTGATCCATTGCCTCTTCTTCCTTCTTCCTCCTCCTCCTCTTCAGAGTCCTCCCCAACAAGTAGGTGGCTTCCTCTGGGTATGCTGTTTCCTGTACATGACTTATGGAACATTTCCCCTGCAGTTTTTTCACTAATGCATATTGTCAGGCATCTCACTGACTTGGCAGGTAATGCACAAGGAAACGGAAGCACAATGCAGAAGCTTGTGGAGGACGGAAGGACGAGGTGGGAATGCTGGTCAAGCAAGTACCCATGTGCAAGCCTATGTGGATGTGGCCGGCCACTTCCTGTGTTTTGTGGATGGTGTAATACTCAAGTTCTAAATGACTGGACTTTATGCTTACATGAAGCAAAGACAGTGCAAGGAGAAAGCTGCCAGGAAGTCTGAATCTGCATGAAGATACGTACGCTAGATGAGGAACGAGGAACCTGCTGACCTCCAGATGTTGCTGGACTTCAATTCCCATCAGCCTCAGACAGCATGCTCCATGCTCCAGGATGATGGGAGTTTTCGTCTCGCAACATCTGGAAACCATCAGGTTTCCCATCTTTACTGTTTAAGAATTGTTTGTTACTTTTGAACTATTTGCTACATTTTCATACACTATTTTAATGGAAATAGGTTCTATTTAAGAATCTTTTTTCACTCTTCAGTCTTCTTCTTCTTCTTCTTCTTCTTCTTCTTCTATTTTAAATTTCTATACCACTCTTCATCTGAGGATCACAGGGCTGTTTAGAATATATAAACACAAAAATACATAACATAGTAACAATTTCCCCCTACACAGTTTAAAAGGCCGTTGATTGTTTAATTAGTCAAAGGTCTGGGAGAAGAAGGATGTTTCTTCCTGGTGCTTAAATGCAAGTATTCCATGGAAATTTATATTAAATTGGAATGCCACAAATGTGAAAAATGTGTCAGCAGAAGTTACATCATTGGGTGGAAATCCCAGCCTCATTTCCTAGAAGTATTGAACACTCCCTTCTCACTGCGATATGACATGTTGTTATGCAGCTTAGAGTTCTGTAATATAATGAATGCACAAATCTCAAGGCACAAGAGAGGGCAGTACAACCCGTGGCCCTCCAGATGTTGTTGAACTCCAACTCCCAACAGCTTTAGCCAGGGTGGCCAGTGGTTGGGGGTGATGGGAGATGTAGTTCAGAAGCATCTGAGGGGCCACAGGCTCCTTTAAATAGCTCGGGATCACAGTACCTCAAGGACTACCTCTTCTTTTTATGAACTGATCTGGACCTTGCAATTGTTACCTGAGGCCCTTCTTCATGTGCCTCCTCTGCGAGAGGTCCGGAGGGTGGCAACATGAGAACGGGCCTTTTCTGTGGTGGCTCCCAGTTTGTGAAAAGCTGTCCCAAGGGAAGCTCACCTGCCACCTTCATTACATGTCTTTAGGCGTCAGGCAAAACCTTTTCTTTTTCGCCAGACTTTGGGCTGATTAA